GATTCAGCCGAGTTTCGTGCCGAGGAGACACGCCAATTCGTGCGGATTTTTCCCGCTGTCACCTCCCGTCGAGATTTCCGCCGAGATCGCTGTCAACGGTCCGCACGACGGCGCGGTTTAGGAATTAAACATTAAGTCGGCGAGCTCAGTCACAATTTACGAAGGGGAATCTCAAGGACCTCTCCCGACGCCCTTCTCGCACGACGACCACCACGACGACGACCGCCACCACCACTACCATCACCATCCTGTGACCAATGCGACTCCCCCGCAAGACGTATCGCTAACCATAAACCGCCGTCTACGTGCGTGCTCGGTTTCCCAGGTGTGTCGGGGTTGCGAGCTCTCTCGGGGGAGGGGGTGGGGGCGAGCGGCAGAGTCCCACCTTTCCGCGAGTCAGTGGTAGAATTTACATACTCGTCGTCGCGTTAACGTGACGGGGTGCGAATGAGAAAGAGAAGGGGAAAGAAAGAGAGAGCGAGAGAGAGAGAGAGAGAGAGAGAAAGAGAGAGAGATACACGAGCGATCGCGGAAGCGGTCGGCGGCGACAAAAGGGTGTTTTCGAGACGGGGTGAAACGCGCTCAAGACTTAAGGGTTGTACCCACACTGAATTCCAAGCATGCGCGCCCGGCACCTGCTCGGAATATCGTCTCGTCATATTTCCATCGTAACGCGTCGCGCCGTCTCCCCGGACAGCCCTCCGGCCCTCACCGTTATCTTCGCGCGCGCGCGCGCGCGCGCGCGCGATCGCTTGACACGAGACGATATTTTATTTGCAAGGAAACCCCCGTCTACGCAGGTTGCCGCTTCTTCTTATCTTGTGTGCACAGGAATTTCTCCGCCGCTCGGCACGACGTCCAGATTTCATGACGCTCGAAGGGAACCCTTCTTCGTATTCCACCCCCTTTCCCTCCTCTTTCGCCCTCTCTCTCTCTCTCTCTCTCTCTCTCTCTAGATATTTAAATGTTTATTTTACCTATATTTGCTTTTGAAACTGCGTAAAAACTGACTGCTAACCTCATGTTGTATATATTCATAAGCATAATTGATTAATGCGTCTCACATTATGTATTGCCAAGTTTGCTTAGTATCATATTTTACATGAGGTTATTCCAGTCTTCTATTTTTTTATATGGAATTTTTCTATATTTATTTATTTATTTACTTAAAAGAAATATTTACCTATTCTTGTTTTTATTTATTATTAATATGTAATCATTTACCAACTCGGCACAAATTATAATGTAAACTTAAATTAATAATCATTGTTTACGATTTGGACGCTTGAGTAGTTTAGTCGCAGAATGCAGAATAAATTATGCTCTCTCTCTCTCTCTCTTTTTCTTTCTCTCTTATCCTTTACCCTCCTTGCTTCTCATCACAAAATGTTTCCCTGCTGTTTGGTTATACTCTTCATTTTCTGCTCTTTTTTTGGGGTTCTTTTCTTTCCCCGCTCGTTCCTCCGTTCAAAGATGGACGATGATTCTCGAGAGAGAGGAGAGGGGAGGCAGCAAAGCTGATAATTTTTAGCTTATTATAGGAGCGTAACCGCATTGGGGAAAAGATTTCTTCGAATTTAATGAATTTTATCAAACAGTTCAAATAAATTTCGTCATTGGCACACTCCGAAAAAATTAATGTTTCGGTGGATAAATACGATTTAGACCTTTCAACTTATATGTATCTTTATCTCAAATGAAAAATTGGTTCGAAACGAAAGATAATTGTGCCGTAAAGAAATTATTCGTTTCATTTTACATACTTATTATCGTAACCAAGTAATATTTGATTTGATTGAAAGATATTATATCAAACAATAGCGTTCTTTCTTTCCGTTAAATAATAGAGTTCCCTCGAATAGGACGATAAAATTTTCACGTCGAACGAATAACACGTCGTGCAAGTATATGTTGTTCCTTGAAAATGAAGCAAATTTTAGTCACACGAATAGAAATACTAAATCTGGAGGAATCTTTTTTCCTCCGCGGGCGTGAAGGGGATGTTAAGAAAAAAGAAGTGCGTCATCGTTAGTCACACGTATCCCGCGTATCTCACGATACGTGCATGTCGGAAAAAGTGACGAGCGCCTTCCGACAAAATTATTCCGCCCGGTGCTGCTAGAGGCACCCTCGAGAGGGTGTTTGAAACTTAAGTTCCATTAGTTTTCATGTAGAACCGCCCGGGTTTTTATCTCCGGCCTACCTCTCGCTATCTTTTTTTTTCTCCGTCTCGTCTTCTCATTCCTCCTGCTCTTTGTCTCTCTTTCTCTCTCATTCTCTCGCTCCGTCGAACCACCACCACCACCATCACCTCCGTCTCTTCTTTCGTGCGGGCGATACGATGAATTATTTATGAATGGCACCCAAGAACAAGTCGCGATCGACCACGCTCGAGGGACTCTCGGCGCGACCGTGGACTGGGAGGGGAGGGGGGCCTCTCGATACATATCCAAGCCTATTCGTCTTATCGCGCAGGTCGGTCCGCGTGAAAAAAGCAATTGATATCCCCGGACTCGCGGCGGAACGCCGAGCGGACGAGCCTCCGATCGAGATCGTCGGACGACGCGAATGCCGTGTTGTTATTATAAATGGCACTGTAGATAGACAGGCAGATAGCGCGGACGGCTGCTCATTTAAATCGAGCGAGCCGAATGTTTCGTCACGTACGTTCGCGAATTATTCGCCAGGAACTGCGGCAACGGGGAGGGGCGAGGGACTGTGCCGGTGACGTCGATAAATCGCGTCATTACACCCGTCGCGCGCGCGCGCGCGACTATTATTCCGTAAGTTATATCGACGAACCGTTGGAATCGTTAAATGTATGATTAACAACGTGCGATATTTACTGTCGCCGATTTGTGACATATAATTCGCGGAGGACGGCATCGACGTCCGTAATCCGTGCGCGATGGTACGTCCGTTTCGACAGCGATCTGTAATCAGTTCGCATTTTCTCTCTCTCTCTTTGCCTCTCTTTTTCATTATTATCCTTATTTTCCAATTTATTTCCCTTCTATCTGTCTATTTTCCTTCCGTCACTTTTTCTTCTTTCTTTTATTTTAATTTTATAGATACGTGTTTTATTGCTTGTACTTTCTGTTAACAGCACGATGTTGTGTAATGTATAGGGCTTGCCCTAGAGTGTAAATAAACGCTCTATCTCTGTCTCTCTATATATCTATCTGTCTACTCAATTTATTTCCCTCCTATCTTTTTTCCTCCTTCTTTTCACTTTAATTTTATACATTCGTTTTTTTATTATTTGTACTTTTTGTTAATAGCACGCTGTTGTTTAACATTTTTATGGGGCTCGCCCTAAAACGTAAATAAACGTTCTATCTCTATCTATCTATATATATATATATATATATATATCTATCTATCTGTGTATCGAATTGGAATCGTACATCGTAAGTAAGCGCGAAGTATTGTTGTATTTATATAATTTCACGAGCTGCGCGCAAAGCACGAGTGTGAAAAAGGCCTCGAATAAGGAAGACGGAGTCCGGAGCGATGTAGCGGCATCGGCGTCGGGTCGTAGGAAGCAGGAAGATGTTGATGTTTCGCAGGTCGTACAATGTACGTGTCAGTGCCTCCTCGGGCTTCTTTCTCGCGTGGGTAACGATGCGCAGCATAAAATGCACAGCAGAAATAAGACTGTAAGAACGGCCCCTCGCCGCTGTCGTCGTCGACGCCGTCGTCGTCGTCGTTCACGTCGACGATATTCCTCCAGAATAATAAAATGCAGGACTTTCCACCGCTCTCGTGCCTTCGTTTTATCCACTTTCCCTGCATCTTCGCGCCCTTCTTTCTCTCTTTCTCGCCCGTCGATGTCGCGCCACGTGAGAATCGGTTTATCCCCGTTTTCCACCCGGCGCGCTACCTTAACCGGGAACGTACGCTGTGACGTTCGAAAAATATTGCCGCGACGGAATTTTAATTCGCGCGATCGCGGGCTTCGCGTTGGACTGTTGAGAAACGTTTATCCCCGTATCCGCCTCGATACGGCATATCCGTCGATTCAAGTAATAATTCGGTGATTTGCGTTGAAAGTTCAATGAAGTTTCTAGGGGTATTTTAGAAAAATCGAAACAAACGCCCAGCGTGAATGACGATAATTTGTCAACATTCCGGTATCATTGCAATTGGAAAAATCTACATTTCTCTCATGAGACTGGATGTCTTTCGCACAATGGAAGTGGTTTGTATATAAATACTATAACGATTTATTCTCCAGAAAGCACCCTTGCTTTAAGAGTTGGGCAAATTTTGTTTGCAAAATAATGTAAATAATAAATGAATCTATAAATAATGTTTATACATAATGTCTTTACACGGAAGTCATCAAATAAAATGATATTCATTTAAAGAACATATTTAAATAATCTCCTATAATCAAATGTAATCAATATAGTAAAATATTCATCTATAATTTACTAGTTAAAATTGATTAATTTATGTTAAAACAGTTTATTCAAATAATAATATTCATACATAAATAATTTATTTATCATTTACATTATTTGTTGTTTGAATAAATTGTTTTAATATAAATTAGTAAATTTTAACCAGTAAATTATAATTGGATATTTAATTATGTTGATTATATTTGATTACAGGAAATTATTATCATTTACAGAAACGAGGCTGTAATATTTTACATATACAGTCGAATCCCTTGATAATAATAATAATAATAACTTTGTTGTTCGCTCTGCGTGTGCGTGATACATTCATGGAAAAGTAGAACGGTGCATAATAGAATGTGCGCGAGAGTCGAGAGTCGAAGGAGCGCGCACTTCTACGTGATCTAATTCGCAAAGTAAGGTATCTATATTTGAGGAGAATAAAGGTGAGATAAAAAAAAAGGGAGAAGAGGAGAAAACATATCACATCGCGGAAAATGCGTGCTCCGCGAAGCATCGAGATACCGTTGCCGTCTCGCTACGCGACTGCGAGAATCTGCGAGAATCTCGCGCAATGCGTAAGATTAATCTTACCTGTGAAACAGCGGTGGCTCGTGCACGAGCAGGTGGAAATCGTTCTCGGAGCAGACCTCGCGGTCCCGATGGTGCACGGCGCATTTAAAACTTCTCGTCCGTTTGCCGCTCATCTGCAACGAGAAAGATATAAACTGAGTCGAGCCGTCGTGCAGGTAGCATCGACTCGACAAAGAAATGAGGTTTGTCCTCCGTGAAAAATTGCAACCGACGTTTTTATTGTTAACCACTTGTTGATTTCGATTGAAAGCTCGAAAGAATGTTGTTTCGGCGATTCTTAACACATTGTTAATTAAGTATGTTAAATGTCAACTAACATCGCTACTTTTGTAAGATAAATTTTTATAACGCAAGTTGACTTTTTGTATCAACCTTTTTATAGCATAAATTAATGGTAGATTAATGCGCAAAAGTTCGTTCTGTAATAAAAAAAAAAATATATATATATATATGACATTTATTTATTTTAAAATACGATGAATCAAGTATGTACCGATTTGTTCGGTGTTAGCTATCTCTCCGACAGTTGCGTGATTCCACGCTCGTAGAAATTCTAGCAATTTCTGAGCGAAGAACTGATTGAAAAACGAGAGAAACTTTTAAATCCAATCCGACACATCAGAAACAGACCATCCGATACAGTCGGCCGGTTGTTTTCTACAGTATTGTACTGTTTCCAAAGTGTCCAATTTTTATTTCCTATTCGTTTTCTGCTATTCGTTTTCTCCTTTCTTCTCGTTTTCGTAAACCGTGATCGAAATATCAACTTGTGGATTGGCCGATATAAATCAAGATAATTAACATGTTAATCGGCTGTTCTTAACAATATTCAATCCTTTTCCTCTACTACTAATTTTTTTTCTTTTCATAAACCGTTGCCAAAACAAGAAAAAAAAACAATTAACCAATAACGTTCGACGAATCACTTAACCACAAATAACATTGACGTTTATTTAACCGTTATGCAATTTTATGATCTGCGTAATTTTTATTATACATTTTTATAAAGTCTCTCATGAAAACAATATCGTCTAAAAAAGTATTTAGATAACTAGCACTATTTATCTTATCTTTCATTTAGATACAGTAAAAACAAAATCACCTTTATCTCATCTAAGAAGGAATTTTTCGGATTATCATCTCACCTTCGTCTAGATGAATCTGAAATCAATTAAGGCAAGCATTGCACAGAAGACACAATGCAATTCGTTAATCTTCATTTCTTACTTTGTTCTCCATTTCTCATTTATTGTATATATTTACCACTAAATCGCACATGTAATCAATAATAATTACAGAAAAACATTACAAAATGCGATAAGTGAGTGGTACGTATTACGCTATTTTCTCTCTCTCTCTCTCTCTCTCTCTCACATTACCCGCATCTACTGAAGAGGAGAGAAAAAGCGAGACGCTGAAATATTATCAATTTGCGCACCGTCTAAGCGGTAAATCGCGAAACTCAGCATTTGTTTTGCGAGAATTCGCTGGGGACAAAGGCTGCTCGCCGGTCTTGGCAGTCGACCCGGCGCGCAGGAAGCGAGCCACAGAGGGTTTCCGGGGGCTCGTTGCCTGATATTTGGATCGGGATCCGTTAACGCGGTTAGGCAAATGCAAGCAAGAACGCCGGCAAACTCCTCGAGCTAAGTTGTGTATACGCAGACGAGTGCTGGTGGAAGGCTAAGCCACCACACGCTCGTTGTATTCGCGCAACACGCGTGCGCGCACACACACACACACACACACATCTCCGAGATCGTCTTACACGTGTAGTTTGTGCCCCGTTTACACGGGGGTGAACGCACACGCAGTGGCATAGCCAAAGGACTAATGCGGCGGGTTAAAATTAATCAAATATCGCGGCGTGGTTGAATTTCTAACGTTGCCGTGATGAATAACGCTTTTGCGTGAATCTAGACAGAGGTACACACGCCGCGACAAGACGCGTAGCGCCCGCGAAAGCGAAATCTAATCTTGCGCGAACGTTAATTACGGCGGAATCGAGCGAGACTCTCATTCGTTCTTTTCGACAAGCGCAAATTTACGCGGTTTTGTTTCTTCTAATGACTCAGAGAATTCAACGAGTTTCACACTAAAAGAATATTATTAACGGTATAACGAATATTGAAGCGATAATTTTGCATTTATTATATACTTCGAGTCACATCTCTGTACACAATTCTGCTGTAATTAGAAATTACAAATCTTCGAAAAGAATACGGGTGTAATTAGAGATTATCAGTGTTTGCCTTAGATAATTTCAGATCCATCTAGATGAAGATGAGGTGAAAACCCGAAAAATTCATTTAAGGTGAGATGGAGATGATTTTGCTTTTAATTTTGCCGGCAAACACTGGAGATTATAAATCTTTAAATACGAGTGTAATTAGAATTATGCAAGTCGTAAATTACATGAAGCGGAAACCAATAAGATTCCGCCGCGTGTGACTCCCACTCGTGATTCTTCTCGTCGTGTCATTCCGATTGCACTTCACTCCCCTCGAGTGAAAAATACGCGCGATATATAACGCGAGTTTTCTCGGCTTCTTCGCACTTTTTCTTTATTCACAAAGAACACTTCCATGCAAACCGGATAAGCCGGCAGGCGTCCTCATATCTTCGCTCCGATGGCATCTTAGGGATTTTACATCCAGCCGCTTTTTCATCTTCCTACGTACGCCTTTTTACGTTTCATCTGTGATTTATGCCCGAACATCGTTCAGGAACGGTGTTACACGTCGATATTTTCCCACCGCGTCGTAAAACATACTCTCTTCTACCCGACTGGAAATTTGAGTTCCACATTGACTCTCTGGAAATTCCGACAAACTCGAAGAACAATATTCAATCTTGATGGAGAATTTCCAGGTATCATATTGTAAGGGTTATTGTATTTTGGTGCTATAAATGGTTATTTATTACCGATTTATAGAAGCTTAAGGGCAGAATTTATGTATTTCAGAATTATTTAATATTCTATTACCTTAACAGTTCATTTTGAATCTTCGTATTAAAACTTATAGAGAGACACGTTTAAAAGTTACACAGGTATACAATGGTCGTATTTCTTGATAAAACAAGTCAATCCTTATATTTTTCTGTGCGCTGAATTCAAATCCGGCCGCGGAATTTCCGCCTAACACTATCCCCTATCAGGATTTTGAAATATTTTAACCTCAAAGCGAAAAAACGCCATTTCTTAAACCCATTCTTAATTTTTTACTGTTAAATAATAGAGTTTTCTTGAATGAGACGACAAAATTTCCATTCGAACAAATAATATTTTGTACAAATATATGTTGTTTCTATGAAACGAATTTTAGTCAAATAAATAGAAACGCTAATCTGAAGAAACCTTTTTCTCCTGTGTATAATGTTACATCTCGAGATTTCCCACTGACGCTTCGACGATACTCGGGGGATGAATTAAAATCTCGTAAAATCAAAATCTCGACTCGGCCGATTCCTCCGCTATCGTTTCCACGACGCTACGCGCGCGACAACGTCGCGCAATTTTCTTTCTGAAATTCTAGCGAAATCCCATATATATATATATATATATATAATTACGTTACTGCACATTCGCCCGGCGTTATAGTCAATAGAACAGAGCAGAAGTACAAACGCTCCGTCGCGGAGCGGCGCCGCAATGAAATCAAATGCGCGCTCGCCGCGGATGAAATTCATGTTGGCGTGGGACTCGATTTTCCGTCAGAGTAGTTTTTCAATTTGCCGGAGCGACCGCCGATTACGTCGTCGTCGTCAAAGACGGGGAAACAAAGCGGAAATTTCGACCGTCTGCTGTCAGTGTGTATCTTCGAGAATACGACGGTGGTGCAGGCCTGGTTGGCTCCGCTGTTCATTTGATTGCTAAAAAAAAAGTCGTCGGTGGATGAACGAGCTGGAAAGACGGACGGAAGAAGGAAAGAAGGATTGGAGGGAAGGGAGGGAGGACGCGTGGCAGGACTCGACGTGGAAATTCGAACTAGTCAACGAGGAAAATTTAATTTGTTTCACTCTCGACGTTCTCCGTCATTCCGGCGGCGTTATCGAGCATCCCCGGCAGTCCTGGCGACTTTATCGACGTCCACTTTGCGGTCCTCCTCCTCCGGTGCTCGCGTTCTTCTCATTAACGGCACGACGTGCTCTCCCGATCGCGGCCGCCGAGAGAGATGCACCTACATTGTAAAAAAGACTGGTAATACTTGCTAAATGCATTCAGTTGGAAATCTCGATGGAATATTTGACAACTGTGATGAAACTTGATATTAAACCAAGTATTTAGTTGGCCTGCAATGATGAACGATTTTTATCCAGTGTTGAATCAACTAAGTGAAGTAGTAATTGCTACGAAATATTTCACATCTGTTATTAAACGTTTGAGAATTATTATTAGATATTTGATGAGTATTACAAAATCTTTCATTTCCATTCTTATAAAATATTTGATAACTATTAGTAAATATTTATGACTCCTTCCTCTCTCTCTCTCTCTCTCTTTCTCTCTCTCCTTCTGTCTCTCCTTTTTTCACTCACTTACTTTTTACTCTTTTTCTCTTTCTCCATACAAGGACACATTATAAATATGAAATATAAAGACTTGACGATAGTTTGTAGGACTTGTTGGTTTCTGTCTGATCTCTGAAATAAAACAGCACGGGTCGCGGCCAGTAGTTGGATGAGGGTGATCACTACAAGATCGTAACTATCGAGGATTCCTTCACATATGAAGTGAAAAAAGTCAGAATGAAGTAGGAATGTCCAGTTGCTCTACGATAACTTACGATAACATTTTTTTAATAAAATCACGACAATTACCTAAAGCAATTTCCCTTACGGACTGTATGTTTAGCAATAGTCACCAAATATATCACATTTTCTGCTATCAAGATTTGGTATTAATTACCAAAGTTTAGTTCAACTCTCGAAATCTGTAGTTCGAGCAACTGAATCTTCATTCTTAAAACTACATATTTCCTTTATCTAATCAAATTATTTCGCAACTGTTTCCCGCAATGTTTCACCGAACTATCTAGTAACAGTTATTAAATTTTGCTACATATTATCAGATTCTTCTTTCAGTGTAGCGAGGAAAACGCGATCTCGGCGCGGA